AAAGGCGCCTTGGTAACACCTACCTGAGCAGTGCTGTGACCAAAGACGCTGGAGTGATTGCTGGACTAAAAAGTTGGGCATTCTTGTTGATGCGATTTTGAACATTTCAAAAAGCTCTAGCAAATAACATGCGATGGCAAGATTTGATAATATTTCAGAAGTGCGTTTTTAGTGGAGCACGGAAGTCTAGGGCAACTTAAGCTCTTTAAATAGACCTCTCCGGAGTGCTCAGAATTCCAGAAAGTGGCGAAGTGAAGTTGGTGCGAATTTCCCCACACTTCAGAGATCTAAGTTATACTGAGTATGAAGACAGTGTTCCAGATTTCAAATTAAATCCATAGGCCAAAACGACGCACCTACGACGTTTCGAAAGAAATGCAGAGCACGTGACTATTTGCAGATGTTTTATCATAAACAAGACACGAAAAGAATCGATTAAATTGATAATGCTTCGCTGCACAGACAAAGATGTATGCTGTCATTTTTTCCCCGCAAGCTGCTCTCCCAAATGCCAGAAATTGCCTGTGGTCACGGATGAAGGAAGGTGACTGTCACCTAGGGCTCGGCCATAATATTCAGCAGTCCCACTAGGGCCATCCCGGTTCCACGGGCAAAGGATGCCCGGCCACTGCATGCCACGTCAAGTTGTGTTTAGGAATTCACATGCACTTGTGGATGCATGTAAATTGGGCGAACGCAGAGGCAATTGGCAGCCGGGTTAGTTGAGCGCCTGCTTAATTGGCTTCCAAAGCTGGAGAATTACGATTCTACGGTTTTCTATCACAAATAACCTCCTAGATAACGGTAATTCCGTCGACCCTAAAATATCTTTCCGAGTATTAGTTTAGGCACGAACAACCCCGATACTGTGCTACTTGGAGGTAGCCTAAATACGGCGGAAAAAAGCCCACCTATGCAAACAGTAAGACCACGTGGTCAGCCTCAGTTTGCCTTGGTAAATCTTCGCCCCTTTATTTGCGCAATCCCTCTGCGTGTCTACTTACCAGTTTTTGTTCCTGAGTTGCGTTTTCGAGTTACGATTTCATTGATTAGTCTGCGTACAATACACGATGACCTTGCTGTTTTAAATTGACTTTATCTGTGGAGGTTCAAACTTCTGCATCTTTTTCATTTGTTATTTCTGTTATGCAACGACAGGCCGCAGTTTATAAGCCGTCACGAAATTTATTGGTTCCAATAAATTCTGCTATCTATGCTTGCTTTAAATGCTAGATGTATTTAATGCCGTACAGAACAAACGGACTCACTGCAACCTTCCTCCTGATAAAGACTTTAGCTGGCTCATCCATCTCTGTGCATTAGTTCGCAGGAAAGCAACGGTTGCTCTTGCAACGGGAGGGGGATGGACGGTCAACGAGTCCCGGCATTTAGTGTTTATCAGCCAATCAATGAGCAGAAAGTGCAGACCTCGGTGATTAATCCAGCCTAGTGCATTTGGGCAGCGGTTACTACCCGTCAACTGTCAACGAACGGCCAAATGACGGTTATTTTGCTCAGATGACTGAATTATTCTTCACTAATGACCTTGATGTAGGCTAATCCGACTCTTTTATAGACTCTGATAATAACTATCGTCTAGGGGCAGCTGAGTAGAGGGACGGACTCTATTTCCCAGGATTACCTGCGTTCCCTGAGTGCTTTCACTAATCCGCGAACTAAAACAGAACGCCCGAGCGTGATGTCCTCGCTATTAGATAGGTGTGCCATGCTTTGTCAAAAAATGAGGACAAAAGTGTAAAAGGGACTGCCTTGGTTTGCTGAAAACCAACAAGCAAGGAAAAGCCACGCAACTTCTAAGCTAGTGGGGGAGACCTACATTAGGTGGGCTAACTCATGAAATGTCAACCGAAATTCCGATATGCGTTTTCGTTTTGAAAAGATTAATTTAATAGGGTTGTAAAACAGATTAGCATTCAGCGTAATTCTATAATCATTCGGTTAACTAAGGATGCCGGCTATCGAACGAACCTCTTACCGTCTGCATGCAAAACCTACACTGCAAAACATGACCACTTAATTAGGGTGCATTTTTCTCATTGATTTTCGGTGCTCTTAAAAATTCAATTATATTTCATAGAAAACATAAACATAAATAATCGTTCTTCTGCCCATTCAAGAGAAAACTACTTTTTCTTTCAAACTTGTCCTCGAAAAGTTTCTAGTTGTGAGATTTTTTAATACCGTAAAATGGCCGTCCATAAAACGTCATGCTTTTGAATTTACGAATGTGGCTCGTAAAGTTAGCAATATGGCTCAAATCCACTGCTACATTTTATGAACCTCATATGGTCTCTTCTCAATTCCGTAGAGAAATGTGTGGTTTACCGTCCGCGAAAAATACACGGCCTGCACTTTGCAAACTCTAAAAGCAAATGTAACGACAGGTCGGGTTTAAAATTATTCTGGAATTTGAAGAGTTTTTGAAAACCAAATTACACTCTTCCTTCGAGTGTAAAATTGAAAGAAAAGATAGCTTTCTACCGAATGCGCTGAAGAATGAATATTTTTATTTATGTCTTCTATGAAATATAATTGAATTCTTAAGAACACCGAAAATCATGGATAAAAAACTGCATGCTAATTAAGTAGTCATGTTTTGCATACAGTCAGAAAGACGTTGCTTTGATAGTCGGCATCCTGAGTTAACCGAATTTCGGAATTTCGGTTGACATTTCCTGAGTTAGCTCACCTACTGTAGGCCACGAATGCTGATGGAAGCGAACACGCGAGTCCCAGGGAGCAGTTCAGAAGCAGTAGATGCGAGCGATGGAACAAGAAGTTTACTGGCCTGACGTTCCCGAGTCGCACTCGAAACCCTCATCGGAAGCTAGAAAATGGACGATAGGGGCACAAGGTATGCAATATTTATAGGGCCCGGCTGTCGGGCAACCACACGCCTACTACGCCGGGTAGTATTCGCGTACATCCCTGAGGTTCGTAGTAGATGCGACACGACTCGGGTACTGACCGACAGGCAACCATTGTATCAACGACAACCCCCAGCGAGAAACACGAGTATTGCCTGACAAAGCAGGCGCGTGGGGTAGCCCAGCAATCGCGCCCTATAAATACTGCGTACCTCGTGTCCCTATCGCTTCTTTTCTTCGAATGCTTCCGGTAAGGGTTTCCAGTGCGAATCCGAAACGTCTGGTCAGCAAACATCTTGTTCCGGCGGTCGCTTCTTCTTCTTCTTCTTCTTCTTCTTCTTCTTCTTTTTCTTCTTCTTCTTTTTCTTCTTCTTCTGACTTCTGTAGATCAGCTGACTCATGAAATGTCAACCGAAATTCCGAAAAGGGTTTTAGTTTTGAAAAGATTAATTATGTAAAGTTGGAGAACTAATCAACAAGCAACATAATTCTACAATAATTTAGTTACCCCAGGATGCCGGCTTTTGAAGGAAATTCCTTCCGGCTGCATGCTAAAGCTACACTCAGCAAAAATGCCTCCATAAGTAGCACGAATTTTTCTTATTGATTTTCGATGTCCCTTAATGTCCAATTATATTTCACGGAAAATATGCAGAAGATCTTTACTCTTTTGCTCATTCGGTAGATAATTACTTCTTCTTCTTCTTCTTCTTCTTCTTCTTCTTCTTCTTCTTCTTCCAATCTCATACTTGAAGGAGGGACATAATTCGGTTTTCAAAACTTGTCCAATTCCAGAATAATTTTGAACCCGACCTGCGGCTACCCTTGGATTCGGGGTTCCCAAACTACAAGCCGTATATTTTGCGCGTACGGAGAACCACAGATTTCCCTACGGTAATGAAGTGGGACCATATGGTGTTCATAAAGTGGACTCGATCCACATTGCTAATATTATGAGCTACATCGGTAAATGCAGAGACATGACGATATATGAACGATCATTTCACAGTATTTAAAAGTCTCACGATTAGAAACTTTTTAAAACAGAATGATGTCCCTCATTTGAGCACTAAAGTAGAAGAAGACGAATTTTGTACTAAAAAGCAAAAGAAGGCATATTTTCATGCATGTTTTTCAAGAAATATAATTGAAATTAAGAGGCGTCGAAAAATAATGAGAGCAATTCATGCTACGCAAGTAGTCAGACACCACGGTCTCTTCATCAGCACAATTCCTGGAGAAACTCAAAGGAGTAAGCATCCATCCAAATGAGGTCATGGTGTATTTTGATGTTACACCCATTTTTACTTTTATTCTCCAGGACTTGGCGATCGAGGCAATTGAGCTGCTACTACGAAGCAAATAGGATGAAACGGAGTACCGTCATGAACACGCCCAAGTCCTTCAGCTCCTGAAGCTCTGTCTCAGGACGTACTTCACGTTCGGTGGGACAATCTGCGAACAGGTGAAGGGCATACCAATGGGTTCGCCGATTTCGGGGTTCATCGCCGAGGCGGTCCTGCAACCGTTTGAGTCACTGGTTTTCCAACAACACAGACCGAAATTCTGGGCCCGGTATGTGGATGATAACTTCGTCGTTATCGACCGGGATCAGGTGTTGACATTCCAAGAACATCTCAACGCCGTCTTCCCGGACATTCAATTTACAATGGAGGCGAAAGAGAACAATCAGTTGGCCTTCCTGGATGTCCTCGTATGCCGCAAAGATTGTGGTGAACTAAAAACCAAAGTGTTCAGGAAAGCGACAAATACGATGCAAGTACTGAACTTCAACAGTAACCACCCAAGCAGCCACAAACGCAGTTGTGTAAGGACGCTCTATCGGCGTGTCGAAGCACACTGCAGTGAGACAGAAGACAAAATTGCCAAACTACAATACCTCCGACGGGTATTCAAAGCCAATGGCTACCCGCGCAACTTCGTCAACCGGTGCATACACAAAAGGGACCAAAGGCCTAACCGCACGGACACCAAGTCTTGGCGGGCACTTCCGTATGTCAAGAACGTTTCGGAAGCTGTCGGCCGCCTTCTCGCACCACTTGGGGTTGGAGTGGCACACAGACCGGAGGCAACCATCAGGCGTCTGATCATGAAACCGAAAGACCCACTGCCACGGCTAGAAACGTCTGGAGTCGTTTATCGGACCTGGTGCAGTTGCGGACAAAGCAACAACGTCGGAGAAACCGGAAGACAGCTCCGAACGAGAATGGCCGAACACGCGGCAGCGGTGCGCAGAAATGACGCCAGCTCTCAAGTCGTGGATCATTCAACGAGATCCGGCCACACATTCAAATTCGATGAGGCCGAAATTCTCGCAAGAGGTGACAACCGCCTGAGCCGGGAGATACTGGAATCATAGTTTACTGGCCCCCAGTCCATCATTGAGTGCAACGATCTTCCCATTCCATACTGCGTGCTAAAATTTCGCCTAGGTGGAGTAACAAGCCATGTGGGGAGCGCAGAGATGAACACTTATCCCAACACCGTGGTCGGTATGTCAGATGGTCGAGCAATCATCACACCAACACCCAACGCACGTGATGAAATTGCAGCAATTATCGACTCGAATGTCGGCCATTAAGCATGATATCACCAAGTGCGACGATCCCGGATGAAGGGGGGAGCCGTGAATGTTCATAGGTATGCGGTAGCATGGCTACTGCATCCTATAAATACCGCAGCCCCTTGTGCAGCAACCACTCGTTTCTGCTTTCTGTCTCTGATGATGGATTCGAGTAGGAATCCGAAACGTCAGGCTAATAAAGCTCTTGTCCCAGCGATCGTGTCTCCCTCTTCTAGACTACTTCCTGGGACTCGTCTCTTCGCTTGTATTGGCGAAAACACATTTCGGATTTTCGGTTGATGTTTCATGTGTTAGGCCACATACTGCATACCATACCTATTTTTCGATATAGTTAGTTCCCCCATGTTCACCGCTCTTCTGAAAAAATTGAGTCGGACGTTAATTCTATGGAATACGAAAAAATGCATAAAGACGTTTTCTTTTGTTCCCCTGTTTTTTAAGGCCATGCGAGTAATAAATGTTGTTGGAGCAGGGCTACAGATCAGTGCTCTGATGACCTTTTTGGCCACTCTTACCCCCATCTCCCAGCCACAGACTGTCAGGAAACATCGGCAGATGAGCAACTCTAGGTCTTTTCTCGCCAACGTGTGGAGGGAGATAGTTGATGCCTTTCTTTTGCTAACGCCAGGGCATGAAAGTCGTCCGGTAAGATCGTACTTGATAGTCAGACATTATACGGTGATACTGTCGACGTAAGTACTTGTTACCAGTAGGTGTGCTTGCCTTGTCTACGGAACTTATTATCAGTAGGTGTGCTCCTACTTAGTTAGGCAGGTCGTCCGTTTCGGTCAGGCTGTTGGGTTTAGTGAGGGTAAGTATTAGGCGTAGTTTAAGTTTAAGGATTAGGGTTTGTGTTTTAGGGTCAGGTTCCAGTGTTAGGGTTAGGGTTTAGGTTCCCGTTAGGGTTACGTTTAAAGTTAATGTTAGGGTTAGGCTTAAGGTTAGGGTTAGGGATAGGCTTATGATTAGGGTTAGAGTTAAAGTTAGGGTTATGGCTACGTTGTGGGTTAGCGTTGGTTTTTAGGATTTTGGTTGCGTTTCGGTTTTGAGGCTTAGATTTATGCTTTGCGGTTGCGGTCAGGGTTGGATTTTAGGTTATAGCGTAGGGTTGAAATTTCTCCCTTCAATTCACCTCCTCAAACCTTCCCAACACCTTCCCTGGCAAATTTTCTTTTACCCAGAAACTCCAGCATTCCTTTATCAGCCCTTCCATTTACCTTACCTATGTAACCCCATTTCCCACAGTTCCCGTACGACAGGGACCTGGCTGTGCGCCTCCCCATTCCTGGCCACTAACTGCGATCTAACCAGTCATTCTACAGTCGTTCTACTTTAGACCAGTAAACGTTTTATTTCAGCTATTGCATCTTCTTCTTCTTCTTCATCTTCCTATTCTTCTTCTTCATCTTCTTTTTCTTCTGACTATATTATACTTATGTTTCGAGATAATTGGTTCCCCAAGTTCTCCGCTGTTTTGAAAGGATGGAGTTGGACGTCAAAACTATGGAATACGAAAAAATGTCCAAAGACGTTCTCTTTTGTTCCCCTGTTTTTTAAGGCCATGCGAGTAATAAATGGTGTTGGAGCAGGGCTACAGATCAGTGCTCTGATGACCTTTTTGGCCACTCTTACTCCCATCTCCCAGCCGCAGACTGTCAGAAAACATCGGCAGATGAGCAACTCTAGGTCTTTTCTCGCCAACGTGTGTAGGGAGATAGTTGATGCCTTTCTTTTGCTAACGCCAGGGCATGAAAGTCGTCCGGTAAGATCGCACTTGATAGCCAGACATTATACGGTGATACTGTCGACGTAAGTACTTGTTACCAGTAGGTGTGCTTGCCTTGTCTACGGAACTTATTATCAGTAGGTGTGCTCCTACTTAGTTAGGCAGGTCGTCCGTTTCGGTCAGGCTGTTGGGTTTAGTGAGGTTTAGGATTAGGCGTAGGTTAAGTTTTAGGATTAGGGTTTGCGTTTTAGGGTCAGGTTCCAGTGTTAGGGTTAGGGTTTAGGTTCCCGTTAGGGTTACGGTTAAGGTTAATGTTAGGGTTAGGCTTAATTTTAGGGTGAGAGTTAAGGTTAGGGTTATGGTTACGTTTTGGGTTAGCGTTGGGTTTTATGATTGTGGTTACGTTTCGGTTTTGAGGCTTAGGTTTAGTCTTTACGGTTGCGGTCAAAGTTGGATTTAAGGTTTTAGCGTAGGGTTGAAATTTTTCCCATTATTCGACCTACTTAAAACTTCCCAGCACTTTCCTTCGTAGCTTTCCTTTTATCCAGAAACTCCAGCATTCCCTTTCCAGCCCTTCCATTTACCTCACCCATATAACCCCCTTTCCCACAATTCCCGTACGACACGGTCCTGGCTGTCCGCTTCCCCATTCCTGGCTACCAACCGCGATCTAGCTGGTCGTCCTACAAAACGATTGAGGCTGGCTAGGAGGTCCGCTGGTTACCCTTCCCCCAGAGTAGGTGTCCTGACCCGGAAGTTCAACCGGGCGGGGAATTATAGTTAAGGCCACTGTTGGGAGGGTTAGTGTCAAGGTCGGACCTGAGCGAGGGGGAATTTAAAGCGAAGTCACCAGCAGTACTGGAGGGGGGGGGAGAGGAGGGGAGAGTCCGTATTTCCGCATACGACCGAAAAGTCTGTAAGTATCACAATATAATGATGCACCTCTTTATACTGAATGCCTAGATATCACATGATTCTTCAGAACAGCCCTAATTGAGATGCGTACTAGACCATTGTATGCAAATTACTTGAATGCGGCGGGGACGGTGGTGGCTGGGGTGGAGGGGGGGACGAGGAGAAGGAGAGTCTCGCGTGTTGTGACAGACACAATGCTTTTCCAGCTGATGGACATCAAGATAAGTCATGAAGTACAAGCTGTATCCGGTGTGCAGCCTTCAAGACGAGGGCATACAAAAAACGCGAGTGGGACAGGCTGTAGCAAGCGTCCTCGCATTCCCTCACCAACCACCGGAAGGAGAAGGCTTAGGAAGACTGGGAAGGCAGAAATGACCTAATTTTGGCAGTGTACTGACAGCCATTAACGTAGTCCTAAAAATATCAGTTTGCTTACGCGATCTTGATGTTTGTAATGAACCCTATTACGTCGACTGTCTATATGAATGGGGGAAGTTTGCGTTAGAGACTGCGAACCGGGAACTGGATCATCGTATCTACCGTACTGCAGTTCTAAATTGGTGGTAGTTAGTGATTGTAGTGCTTTATTTAGCCTTTAATTGAAAAAGATTTCCGGCTAGAGGTGCGGAAACAGTCTGTACTGGTGTCAACCTCAGCGATTAAAGCTGGCCATTTTATGGAAGATGCCGGTGTGGGATTTTTTTCCCTTTTTTAAGGCAGAAAGTTTGTGGGCAGCAATGGCTTGGCTGCATGGCCGTTCACCAGTTGTCCTGAAAGACATTTTCCTTTATATTACTACAGTAAGTGGGCTAACTCATGAAATGCCAGCGAAATTCCGAAACGCGTTTTCGTTTCGAAAAGATTACGTAAGTAGGATTGCAAAACTAGTCAACCTGCAACATAATTCTACAATATTTCAATTACCTCAGGATGCCGGCTTTTGAAAGAACTTCCTTCCGCTGCATGCAAAGACGACATTCTGTAAAAAATGCCTACTTAAGTAGCATGAGTTTTTCTCATTGATTTTCGATGCCCCTAAATGTCCAATTATTTTTCACAGAAAACATGTATAAAAATATTCAATCTTTCGTACATTTGGAAGATAATTACCTCTTTTTCTAATTTTATACTCGAAAGAAGAGTATTATTTGGTTTTCAAAAAAATTTCAAATTCCCGATTAACTTTGAACCCGCTTTACCGATGCACTTGGATTCAGGGTTTCTAAACTACAATCCGTGTATTCTCCGCGTACGGAAAACTACATATTTCTCTACGGTATTGTAAGGAGACCATATGACGTTCATAAAATGTAGCATTAGATTTGATCCATATTGTTACCTTTACAAGCCACGTTGGTAAATGCAGAGACATGACGATTTATAAACGGCCATTTCACGGTATTTAAATGTCCCACAATTAGAAACATTTTAAAACTGAATTATGTCCTTCCTTCGAGCACAAAATTAGAAGAAGATGTAATTTTGTACCAAAAAACAAAAGAATGAATATTTTCATGCATGTTTTTTATGAAATATAATTGGACTTTCAGAGGCATCGAAAATCAAGGAAAAAAAGTCATGCTACTTACGTAGGCATTTTTTAAAGAGTGCTGTTTTTGCATGCAGTCGAAAGGAGGTTCTTTCAAAAGCCGGCATCCCGAGTTGACTGAAATATTATATATATATATGTTGTAGGTTGTCTAATTTTACAACGCTACGTAATTAATCTTTTCGAAACGAAAACGCATTTCGGAATTTCGGCTGACATTTCATGAGTTAGCTCACCTAGCGTAGATGATCACACAAACAAAACCAGTGCATTTTTATCCTAACCTGGGCTGGCAACGGAGTAAACAATGCAACATGTGTACACTACTGACTGTTGACCGTTTGTGAGTATTATATTGCAGCTGATGGATCCCGGCTCAAATATTCACACCCACGTTCCGACTAATCATTCCGCATGACTTTCTCCGAACTAGAGCACTAATTTCCTGAGGAGATTACAAAGCTGAAGCTAACAGAGCCCTTATAGCTCATCAGCTCTGACTGCTCGACCGTTACGTGTTATGACGTCCATGATGTGCTTCGCGCAACACTGGTAACTTGCGTGGAAATTCGTTTGGGGTGAGACGGACTTGTGCAGCAACTACCGCTCTGCTGGCGAGACAATGCCAAGATGGTAGAGGGGCGCTCAGTGCTCTTTCTTACAGAGCTCACTCGTTCCGTTGCGCCATACGGTGGCGCACGGTATAGGCAGAATGATATTACCGACAAAGACAAGGGAGACGGGAATGGTCATTTCTGGCTTATTAGCCGTCGTCAGTCAGTCATACCCAACCCCGCAGTGTGGGACACCCAAGGCTCGAACTCGCGACCTGTTAGTTGGAATTTCAAAGCCTCAAATTACTGAGCCACAGACTCGTTAACCTGCCGGTTTCGATCGGGAGTATAAAATAGTAGAGAGCGCTCAGAAATGGCCATTCCAGTCTCACTTGTTTTTGTTAGTAATAACATTTTGTTGATAGCAGGCTCCATTGTGTGGCTGCTGATTGTATATTCCTGATCGGAGCCGACAGGACAACGGGCCTGTAGCTCAGTGGTTTGAGACGTTGAAATCCTAACAGGTCGCGAATTTGAGTTCCAGGTGCCCCACACCTCGGGGTTGGGTATGACTGGCTGGCGACGGCTAATAAGTCATGAAACTCTTCTTTGGTGGTGCTGGTGGCTATGGCAATCTGGAAAGGATAAAATAAAACCCGGTTTAGATGCTGAAACTGGCCGTTGGGGTTCTAAGAACTGGAGGAGAAGCAAAACAGCCATCTCTGAAGATCTGACCTTTGACTACAAATCATTGATCACAGTGTTTCGTGATGGCACAGACTTGACAGACTGTCAAGTCCTTGCCTGTACTCGCCCACTGTCTGACCTCTCTGGACTCATAAAACGAAAAAATTTCAACCAGAAATGATCAGACACCCAAGCAACCCATCTGACCAACCTACCAAAAGTGAGCAATGTTTCGGGACATATAGAAAAGACCGAAAGAGAGAGAGAGAGAAAAAAAAATGCGATTTTTTGAAAGCATCATATTGAAATTTTTTAGCATAGTCAGCTTCCACGCACGACACCAAAATACAAATTAATAGTGCTAGAAGGGCGCTTATAGATCGTTTCTACGGAGCTCACTCGTCCGTTGTGCCTCCTGGCCTTTCACGCGAGCCCAACCAGCAACCGCACAGAGGCTTCCGACGGCTAATAAGCCAGAAATGGCATTTCCAGTCTCCCTTGTCTTTGTCGGTAATAACATTCTGCCAATGCGAAGATGATGGTGAGTGGGGGGGGGTGGGAACAGAAGCAGTAACTGATGTAACAAAACAGCCAGTGTATGCGTATCACACAAAACCTGGGCCTCAGCACATGTACGGAAATGCAGGGCCGAGAAAGAGAGTGCTTCATAGAGATGTAAATTCTTTGGATTTGACGCTATTAAAAGGCTCTACGTATAGTGTCTACGTGAATTTAAGAACTCAAACTGGTTGAACAAAAGTGCTTAGGGCAAATCCAAGCGGTTCCTTGCAGTCAGGCGGCAGTTACCTATTTAATTACTGCCTATGACAAAGACAATAACCCTTAACTCAAGCCTACACACTCGCTTTCCGAACACTGGCATTTAATCTTTTGGCAATTTCCGTCATCGGCTTGTCTGCACGGTTCTAAGGTGTTCCGCGTCTTTGTGGAGCAGCATTTACCGAAGAAATGTGATTATAACAGTTAAAAATGAAACCAATTTTAACAGGCGCAGTGCGCAATTTGAACTTTGCTCTTCTGATATGCACATGCAGTACATCTCAAAACCATGAAAAATTAATTCTCTCTGGTATTGTCCCTACTGATATGAGCTGTTGCCCTGCCAACTGCGCACATTGCACGAGGAATAAAATGCAGTCATCTGCAAAGCATGTGCCATGAGGAATAAATTATTGGGCTCTTTCGCATATTTTCAGTTAAGCGGATTTTGTGACGTCCTCTGGTTTCGCAGTACTGCTCACCGGGTGGGCCAGTTGCGCCAAATTTAGCGTTTAAGTCAGGGGACCCAGTGTAGGATTGTGAAGGGTCCCCTGCATAATTTAAAGTGCCTGGCACGTAGTTTGAGCAACCTAGTAAACATGACGGTGCAAATCGACTCAAAACATATGATCAATATCAAAAAACTAAAATTCCACATTCGGCGAGGTGCGAACGATGGAATGATTGGGCATTCAACAGGAAGGCTCTTAACCCTATCGGCACCGAGGTTTATTTGAGGTCTGACGTTCCGAGTAGTCGCTTCGTCTACCCATCTTCAGAGACTGGAAAGTCCTGCGCACAGCTCGCCTCATATGGCGCAGTTTGTTTGTTGCGTGGTCCGCCAATGCCGCCTGTATGGCTGCATCCGACCCGCATGTCCCCGTGACCTGAATCGCCCCCCTCGGTCGTGGCGATGACTGACGGCCCCGATTGTCCCGCGCCGTGACTGTCACCCGTCAAGAAGGTCCGCAAAGCCGGATAGGGGGAGGCAAATCGATTTGGCGGTTGACAGAGCAGTCGGTGGACATCCAGGCGTCTTGCACCTGCCTCCGACTTTGGGTTCAACCTTCGGACGGTTGTGCCCATGCATTCGCCTTTCCCGCATCCCGCAGCTGCACAGCCTAGAATCGTCTGAGAAGGACGATTGCGAAGATCGTCGCAGCAACGTCGATGAGGCTTATGACGCAGTAGTTCTCGCATCTCTTCTTATCTCCCTTCTTGAGGATAAGTACAAGGATGCCCAAGTACCAGTCATCAGGAGCAGCCTCGTTTCTTCACGCTTGTTCAATCACCTCATGGAGCCAGGGAGCCTGATTGTCGACACAAGAATTGTAGACTTCTCCGGGTGCCTTGTTAATGCGCAGCTTTCGTATGGCATCTGCGACTTCTTCTGAAGGTGGCCACATGTCACTGCATTGGTTGGAGCGGGAAGAAACTCCGTTGCAGAGAAGAGCAAGGGCGAGGTAGGTTGGGTATCGAAGTTGAGATGGTGCTCGTGCCAACGCTCGACTTTGGCAGAGTTGTCAGCAATGAAACCGCCATTCCCATTGTGAAGAAAGTCACTCAGTGTATAGGGCTTACCGCTAACTTGGCGGATAAGTTGGTAGAGTTTCCGAGTGTCACCAACATCCGAGGCCTGTTCCATGGAGGGCGCTATTTCAGCCCAATATTGCTTCTGGTCATCCCTGGCCGACTTTGCCGTCATCCTCCGATGTTGACGGAAGGAATCATCATCACGGGACCTGGCTCGAGCTGTCTGAGCAGAAGACTGCAGGATTCTTCCACTGCGGCGTCGCTGAGTATATTCAAGACTTGGGTTTTTTGCGTTGGGAATTTCTGTGATGGTTTGTCAGACAGTTAGGATATTAAAAGGAAAGGAGGCATTTACAGGGAGAGGTGTATCGGAGGTCTGAAGTTTCGAGTAGTCGTTTCATCTACCCATCTTTAGAGACTGGGAAGTCGTGCACGGTCGTGCAAATGCATTCGCCTTTGCGGCCGTCGGTCGGTTTCCCCAACGTAGTTGCACATCCAGCAGCTGCATTGAAGTCGGTAGACAACAGCCGACATCTCCTGTTTAGGGATCGGGTCTTTTGGCCGCATCACCAGCCGACGGATTATTGATTCGGGCCTGTGGGCAACGCCTATTCCGAGCGGCGCGGAGGGTCTGTCCAAGGCTTCGGAGACCCCTTTCATGTACGGAATACGCCGCCACGATTTTGGCTAATTATGCTCTTCCGTCCGCTTTCTTGGTTGTCTTTGGCTCTGTTCAACGAATGCTCACGGATGGCCATTGGCTCTAAAGTGCTTCATCTCGTCAACTTTGGCGGCTGGCGTGCTGCAGTGAGTTTCCACACGTCGGTATTGCTTGTGTTAATAGCTTCCTTTGTGTTGCAGTGGGTGGTTGCTGTCGTAACTGGGCATGTGCAGCGTGTTCTTCGGTTTTTCGTAGACTGACCTCGCCAGTTTGCCATCTGGTTGGCGGCAGACGAGCACATCCAAGAGTGGAAGCTTGTCCTCCACTTCCTCTTTAATCCTTAACCGTAGATCGGGAGTAACTAAGTTCAGCGGCCTCTCACAGGAGTCAATTTTATCCCGATCGATGAGTACGAAAGTGTCATGAACGTAGTGCATCCACAACTTGAGTTTTTATTCCCATAACAGTCGTCTCACGAGTTTTTGCAGAACCACCTCGCCAATGAACCTGGAGGTTGGTGGACCCATAGGAGTGCCCTTAATATGCTGATATGGGATCCCTTCGAAGGTAAAGAATGTGGTGAAGCAGTACCCCATGACATGACTTTCCAGTCTTTAAAGATGGGTAGACGAAACAACTACTCGAAGTGTCAGACCTCTAATAAACCCCTCCTGATGAACGCCTCCTCTTTTTTAATATGCTACCTGGGAATCGCATTTTAACTACTATTGATTAAAAAATGTCCCGAAGGGCTCATAAAATTTTTTGATGGAAATGAACCATGTTCCAGTCGTTTTCCCTCGTCAGTTACAGTGTCCGCTTCCATCTCCAGTCTTCCTGGCGCCTTCCTGTCACTTGATGCTGGGAGGTTAAAGTTGGATGGATGCTGCGTAAATCTGTCTAACCAGAGACGAATTTCCACACAAGTCGTCGCCAGACCAACCTCATGCAGCGCTGTTGGTGGATGGGTCCGCCAACTAGCGGGGTGACACAGGTTACGGCAAAATTCGAATAACGCAGCCACACTGGCGCCATGTGCGGGCCACACATCAAACAAAGGGCCTTATATAAGGAGAGCTGTGCGCCTGACTTCCCAGTCTCTAAAGGTGCGTAGACGAAGTAACTACTTGAAACGTCAGACCTCTAATAAACCTCTCCTGGCAAACGCCTCATCTTTTTTTGATATGCCACCTGGGAATCGAATTTTCACTACCATTGTTGATTAAAACATCGTCCCCATAAAATAGGAGTGAGGATTTGCAGGCCTCGAGGATAAGTAGCCCAAACAGGCCGACACTAATGAATGATTTATAAAATGAAATATGACATTGCAGACAGAGCTTACAGCGCAAGGCCACTGTTGTTACTGTAGAGACATCTTTTTGTTTGAATGTCTGTAATAGTGAAATGTTCCAAAATGGTGCTAAACAGCTAGGGAAATATGAAAGAAAATAAGAATGTTTTTATCAGCCCGTGCCATGAAGGCGTCAGAGAACTAAAATAAAAACCTTCGAAAGTGATCTTGAAATGGCCTCATTGGCTGTCATTGGAGAACTAATTGCCACTGGCCTAAAAAATAATTTCTTCCAAGCGGTCTATTAGCTACGCTTCTGAGTCAGATATGTATAATCGATTTTTGTAGCACTGGATTACAGATGGCAGCGGTTACCAATTGTACCTTCACTGTTAGAGAAGACACTACACAAGCAATGGATGGTTTACCATAAAAACAGCATAGTTATTACATTTGTGTCAGAATGAGGCGGTGTTCTGCGCAGGTGCGGAGAAGCAGCAAGCCGTTGTCGTTGGAGCCGCGTAGACCATGAGGACCTATCACTCCCCTCCAGGCAGCATGATCTGTGCCGACGCGGGCGTTGAAGTCACCAAGGAAAATCAACTTGTCCGCCTTCGACACAGACGCCAAGAGGGTGTGCAGGTCCTCGTAGAATTTATCTCTTGCGGCGTCAGGGCTGGTCATTGGCAGAGCGTAGACGCTGATGATGGTGGCGAATTTGCCCCCCCCCCCCGGAGAGGCAGGCGGAGGCTCATTAGGCGATCGTTGATGCCCTGCGGCAAACAGGGCAGTCGTCCCACGATGTCGTTCCGGATGGCAAAGGCGAGACCTGCGTCTCGTCGCACTGTCCTGGACCGAACACTCTAGAAGAAGGTGCAGCCGGCACCCACCTCCTCCAGTTGGCCTTCTTTGGGGAATCGGGTCTCGCTGAGTGCGGCGATTTCCACCTTGTAGCGCGTCAGTTCCCGGGCCAATAGCGCCGTCCTCGGTTCCGGTCGGTTGCTCCTCCGATTGTCTAAAAGGGTGCGAACATTCCAAGCTGTCAGATTGATCGGACTACCCTGCCAGTATGGCGACGTGTGGGGCGGCGGAAAGGAGGTGGAGAACATGTCGAAGGAGAAAAATAGGCAGAGGAAGAAGAAGAAGAGGTAGGATGAGGAGGAGAGCGAGTCTTGAAGAAGAAGACACGATCGCCGGGACAAGAGCTTTATTAGCCTGACGTTTCGGATTCCTGCTTGAAACCATCGTTGGAGACATAAGCAGATAATGGTGGTTCATGCACATGCGGCTGCAGTGTTTATAGGATGCTACCACATATCTATGAATATTCACGGCTCCCTCCCTTTCATCAGGGATCGTTGCACGTGGCGTGATGGCCGACATTCGAGTCGATAATTGCTGCCATTTCATCACGTGCGTTGGATGTTGGCGTGATGATTGCTCGACCGTCTGACGCGTTGACCCGGGAGTTGGGAGGAGTGTTCACCAGTGCGCTCCCCGCGTGGCCAATTACTCCGCCTAGACGAAGTCTCAGCACGCTGTATTGAATGGGAAGATCATTGCACTTGTAAATAGACTGGGGGCCAGTAAACCATGATTCCAGTAGCTCCCGGCTCGCGCGGTTGCCAACTCTTGCGAGCATTTTGGCCTCGTCAAATTTGAATGTGTGGCCGGATCTCGTTGAATGAGCCGCAACTTGAGAGCTGGCGTTATTTCTGCGCACCGCTGCCGCGTGTTCGGCCATTCTCGTTCGGAGCTGTCTTCCGGTTTCTCCGACGTAGTTACTTTGTCCGCAACTGCACCAGATCCGATAAACGAATCCAGACGTTTCTTGCTGTGGCAGTGGGTCTTTCGGTTTCATGACCAGACGCCTGATGTTTGCCTCCGGTCTGTGTGCAACTCCAACCCCAAGTGGGGCGAGAAGGTGGCCGACAGCTTCCGAAACGTTCTTGACATACGGGAGTGCCCTCCAAGATTTGGTGTCCGTGCGGTCAGGCCTTTTGTCCATTTTGCGTATGCACCGGTTGACAAAGTTGCGTTGAAGACCCGTCGGAGTTATTGTAGTTCGGCAATCTTGTCTTCCGGCTCACTGCTGTGCGTTTCAACACGCCCATAGTGCGTCCTGACACGACTGCGTTTGCAGCTGATTGGGTGGTTACTGCTGACGTTCAGTACTTGCATCGTATTTGTCGCTTTCCTGAACACTTTGGTCTTTAGTCCACCACAATCCTTGCGGCATACGAGGACATCCAGGAAGGCCAGCTGTTTGTTCTCTTCCTCCTCCATCGTAAATTGTATGTCCGGGATGACCGCATTCAGATGTTCCTTGAATGTCAGCAGCTGATCCCGGTCGATAACGACGAAGGTATCATCCACATACCGGGCCCAGAATTTCGGTCTGTGGTGTTGGATGACCAGCGACTCTAACCGTTGCAGTACCGCCTCGGCGATGAACCCCGAAATCAGCGAACCCATTGGTGTGCCCTTCACCTGTTCGTAGATTGTCCCGTCGAACGTGAAGTACATCTTGAGACGGAGCTTCAGGTAATGAAGGACTTGGGCTTGTTCAAGACGGTTCTCCGTTTCATTGTATTTGCTTCGTAGTAGCAGCTCAATTGCCTCGATCGCCAAGTCCTGGAGAATAGAAGTAAAAAGGGATGTAACATCAAAATACACCATGACCTCATTTGTACGGATGCTTACCCCTTTGAGTTTCTCCAGGAATTGTGCTGACGAAGGGACCGTGGTGTCTGACTCAACGGCCAGGAACTTGAGACGCCGGAACAGCCACTTAGCCAGTCCGTACGTTGGAGTCCCTTTGATCGACACGATGGGTCGGAGAGGAGCGCCGTCTTTGTGCACCTTAGGGATGCCATAGAATCGGGCCAAAGCCGTATCTTGGGGTCTCGCCATGCGTCTGTCGGTCGGTGTTATTGCATCTGAGTTCTCCAAGGCCAACAACGTAGCATTAACTTCGCGTGTCAGCGCCTTTAAAGGGTTGGTTGCACATGGGACATAGAACTGTCGGTCCTCCAGTAAACCTTTGGCTTTTTGAAGGTAGTCTGTCCTGTGCAGTACAACCGTGGAGCGCCCCTTGTCCGCTGGTACGATGACCAAGTTATACAGTAGATGACCTAATTCATGAAATGTCGAGATCGGTATTTGAGTTGGGGAAACGGAGTATATTTTGTGTGGTTATTCTTGTTTCTAGAATTCATTGGAATCCCAAAAAGCCCTTTTTTAAACAAGAGGTCATGTTAGTTCAGTTTTTTTTAGGGAAAACGGACCAAAATTAGGCAAAATTAGACGTATCCGGACACCCACCTAATTTCCTATTCTAATAAGTATCCCCTATGGAAACGTCTTATTTGCACACGTTGCGTTATAGAGGAACTTTCATATAACAAGGAAAAATATCAAAGAAGGACACTTTAGAAATGGAAATTGTGATTCTTAATTCCTGAAAATCAGATCAAGTCTAGTATGTAAAAACACATTATTTTCATGAAACAAGAAGCAAGTTGCACTTTATAAATTCTGTTTAGCAAAACTTTAACGTGTTATATCATTAAACGCAGCTATAGACTTATTCGAGAGTATTTTTTTACTACATCGGGAACTAGTAAGCGTAAACACGCATATATTGATTGCGCGCTACATGCTGCCACTTTTCTTTGCCACGCCGTGCAGCAAGGATGTCGAAAAAGTTCCTATCGGAAATTGACTTTGAGCGGATACGAAAATTGGCAGCCGAAGAGCTGCTGCGTGAGTCTTTATCTAGTATTTTCACTCTCTGGAGAATTATGAATAATAAAACAGTTCCTAGAACTAAGCATGGTGGGCCAAAACAGTCCACAAGCAAGCAAGGCGATGATCTCTTTCGTCAGACTGAAAAAGTATCATTATATGCCCCTTAAGGCTATTTACAGAGAACACCTGTCAATGTTTTCTTTGCGCATAACTAAAAAAAGAATGAGAGAGTTCGGTTTCCATCAGCAAAACGCCCTGACAAAGCCATTCCTAAGTAGAAAAATTATTAGAGAACTTTTTTTGTTTGCTCAAATATATCTTGATCATAGACTTTCCTTCTGGAAAAGCATTTACTTTTGTTATGATGTCCTATTTTTAGACAAGTCTCCGAAGTCGGCCCAGGTTGCCATATTTGGGATGAACTTTCTGCGAGAGCACTCTTCATCGACACCAACTTTCAATAACTGCCGACGCCTGATGGTTTGGATGGCCATCAAATTCGGAGAGCGACTGGTCTGGCGTTCATCAGCGAAGACCATAAACAGCAAGGTGTTTATTGACATCGTAAGGGATGCCTTCGGTTATAACGGTGTTCATCGACGTCGAATGGGTACCGCAATGTTATAGGATAATGACCCTGTCCTCCGCTCAAAGGAGGTATGATTTCAACTCAGTCTACGACTATAATCTAGTATTTTAGACCACAGGCAGCCCCTCCGCCTGCGGCCTTCTAAGCATTTTTCTCCCCGCCAACAGCCCGAACCTAAATCCCATCGAAAATCTTTTTGCACTAAACAAAAGAAATTGGGACAAAGCAAGAAAACATCTTCCTATGGAGCAAAATTTGAAATTTTTGCTTAATAATTACATAGACCAAACCACCTTAGACAACTTGGTAGTCTCGATGCCCTCTTGCATCACGGCAACGTTGAAAGCTAAAGGACAATCGACAAAGTACTGATAAGATGTATTTGTTACTATTTTTCATTTTTTTGTCGTTTTATGACGTTCCCCTCCTCTGATGACAGTTATATGAGGCCTTGAATAGGTGACATATCATAAAGTCGTTTTTTGATTTGCTCTTTTATCGTAAAATAAATTATCTCTTAGTCATTAAATAATACTTTATAAATCAAACTCTATCTTATTTGGAGGCTCGGTCGTACATTTAACGCAGTATAATATTCGTGGGTGCGGGGTGGGCGTTTCGTGCGCTTCAGCAATTCATGTTCACAGTTCGTGACCTTTCATCAGACAGGTCACGAACTCAGAGGACGGAGATGTGAGCACTGAAACAGGAAATTTATTGGCCAGAAGTTTTCCCCACTTGAAAAGAAACCACAAAGACAGTTTGCTTTTTTGAGTGGTAATCTCGCTATAAAACGTCCGTTGATGGTATTTTGGCAAGGATATAGTGAAGGCCCCCAAGTATCTACGAAGTACAAAAGAATGCCTACTATGCTTGTTTAAGTAGGTTCTGTTTTATTCGACACTTTCATAAACATGGTTGTTACTCGTTAACTCTCGCACATTTGATTGGGAGGCTATCATCGGACTTCCCGTTGCATGAGCCATCATGACCTTAGCTCAGAGAGTTGAGAAACGGCCGCCGCACTTTACACCGTCAGCACGGGTCATGCCTTTCGCCTTAGCATTACCTACTATGGGCTGCGCTGTGATAATTCGGGCAGCAGCCTATCCACTGTGTAGTTCATCGTAAACCTCAGTTTACACGATTGAGAAGCCGTTGAGTTCTTTAATTATGATTGGAAAGATCTCAACTACCTTGCCGTAGGATAACCCAACATGGCCTTATTTCAGGGAAATGAGAAGAGATAGCAAAACTTGGCGACTATTTTAAACATAGAGTGCGCACTTGGAGGACCTTGACATCCAGTTTACAAATCCCAGTGCCTGTTTCGTAGACTTCTGCTCATACGATTGGGAACACGTCATCTGAATTCCCGTTGAATAATCCGTCATGCGCTGATCACAGACAGTTGAGAGATGACAGCGCGACCAAGCTTCTTAATAGAGGACGTTGTTGATCGGCTTCGCATTACTTGCCCTATGCAGTGTTGCGGCATTTTTAGCTACAGCATGTACGTCCTAACGACGGCCACCAGGCGACAGTCACGATCCCGTAGTGTACTATAGCCGCCAATGTAACGACTTTCATGACATTAATGCTTCAACGTGTCTGCTGCCGTTAACGTTTATAATCTGCCTGTCAAATGGGCGGCATTCTTCATGTAGTCGTCCGATTATGTTCCGGTTGATCACATTAATTCTTAACTACCTGATCTTGTAAGAGGCTTGTAATCGAAACTTACTTGCATCCAGACACAAATCCGAAGCTTTCACGATAAAAGAGGCAGACGGCTAACCAAAAACTACGCTGCGGTCCAAAAGCATTAGGAAAACCAAGGCAGTTTGGGTTGCGAGAAGTTAATGTAGGACAATTAACTTACAATACTGTCAGCTTCTTCCAGAACAAGTTCCATTTACACAGGGTAAGCCTCCGCAACGTAAAACAAGAATACCTTCCACGCTTCCTTCAGTCCAGCGCATTAAGACCAAACCAGAGGCGATATTGTACTTCGTCTATATGAGACCAGATAGCTCAACCGGAAACCGGGCTTCCTTCGTACGCCTTCCTTTTCAATCGACTCCATTATGACTCTATTGCATTTGTGTTCCTTCCAGTCGTCGGGTCTTTGAAGTGTTTGGAGTGATTTACGGTATGATGGACATATCCCTCAGACGGGAGGCGACTGTAGGCTCTCCACTCATCCATCATGACGATGCTGCCCTTCGTTACTCATTTTGTAATGACAGCGCGCAGAGCCGGCCAGGTTATGTCGTTGACCTGCTCGACCACTGCCTTTCACCGCCTTGTATTGTGCATTCTCACGAACCACCATTGCATTCGGCGTTTACCGACGTGGTATTTACGTCGGCTTAGTAACGTTTCATCAACTGGGACCCAAATTCCCGTCCCCCAATCTGTTTCGTTTGCTTTCTGAGAGCCGCAGTGCATCCATTCCTACATAACGCGTACCACTCCACCGCCGTCACATTGCGACGTCGATAGCCTTCTCTTACTCCTTTTAGAAAAAGTAGCCAAATCTTCATAATTGTCCCCAACGTCAACCGGCTGTCCTCAAAAATTGAACCACCTCTCAATGCCCTTCTCTTTCGGCCCCGGATCATCGAGAAACATATTCATCCGAGTGTCGCCTCCTAATTTGCTCTTTCGCATTAGCATAATAATGCGGTCGGAAGCTGTCCCCTCTTCTGGCAGTACTCGACAACCTTCTCCGAATTTATCTCGTCCAATATTTCTTCCATCTTACTTCGAAGATGTTCCGGGGTATGAGCAATTCCTTCGGCTGCCGCTTCCATTTATTTGCAAAATTCACAAAATAATAGCCTATCAAGGACAAACTCTAAAATGAAAAAAAAACCGTTAAACATATAGTGAATATATTTTTACTAACGTATGGTATTCGTACTTCCTGAATTACGTTACATGAGTTACATAAAACACCACCTGCCTTGGTTTACAAATAACGTACTTATTAGGATTTTCGTTTCGCTTGACAGATCGCGCAGACAACATTGCCTTTGGATTCAGGCACATGACGGACTCGTACACTAAATTTCGGTAGAGGCAGCTAGCTTACTAACGTGATTACATACTCATTGGCTGCGCTTGCCTTGGACACATAACTTGCCGTAAACAATCGATTGGTGGGCACCTGAAATTGGTTTGCACTAGGACCACAACTAAAAATATTTTTTCCAATTTCCCAGCTTTCTTTGGTTACTATATGTCAATGCCGTAAAATGTTTTCGACTAAAAAACAAACCACACAATTGCCTTCATTTACATTGCCTGCTTACAACGCATTTAACGGCCCCACGCGTAAAGCCCCCATTACCACCTTTCCAGTAAGACAGGCGACTGGGGTTGGTCGTGCATTTCTTGGGTACTTTCCCTATACCGTTGCCGGGATTTTTCGTTTACCATTTTAAGCGTCTACCAGTCGCATGGTAAGGAAAAACGCTAACATGAAGCCATCTTGCAATAGTTTAAGGCCTGCTTATTAGATACGTCCCCATCTAGGTCTAAGCAGTTACCCGATGAAAAAATTTTACTTGCCAGCAAAAACACGTCGATATATGGTTTTGGCAATCCATACAGAAGTGCGAACAAAAACTCACTCGCCGGAAATCTGTCAATTATCTTCAAGGCCCCTAAGCATATTACTTAAATCGATAATACGGCAAAGTGTGTAGCGTTGGCCACCTCAGGAAAAACGCCAATAGCCGCCGCCTTTTGAACAGAGGCAGTTGGTTGCGCGATCTATTAAGAAACTGCACATAATTTTTCACCGACCGCTTTAGCCGACCCGGTTGTTTGCACAAACGTGCTTACGAAAATGAGTAAAAGATTCCGACTTACCTACTGCAGAATAAGTGTAACTATTTTACGACTGTCAGCTTAAAAACAAAGGGGGGGGGGTGCAAAAACCTCAAGTCGCCCTATTTATATATTGTATTTATATTTATATTGAGAAGGTGATACCGACAAAGACAAGGGAGACCGGAATGGCCATTTCTGGCTTATTAGCCGTCATCAGCCAGTCATACCCAACCCCAAGTGTGGATCACTTGAGATTCGAACCCGGGATCTTTGGTCATGGAGTTGAACGCTCTACCATTGAGCCACGGGCCCGTTGTCCTGTCGGTTGTGATCGGGAATATTAATTATGATAGTGGGCGCTCACCGATCAGGCTCAATGGTAGAGCGTTCAACTCCATGACCAAAGATCCCGGGTTCGAATCTCAAGTGATCCACACTTGGGGTTGGGTATGACTGGCTGATGACGGCTAATAAGCCAGAAATGGCCATTCCGGTCTCCCTTGTCTTTGTCGGTATCACCTTCTCAACATATATCACTAGTCGCTGTGCGACTGCCTGCGAGGGTTTAAGTATGAGCCCCAAGGCACAACGGAACGAGCATGTTCCGTAACCTGATCGGTGAGCGCCCACTATCATAATTATATTTATATTATATATATTGCATTGTCATGTCCGATATTCTGGACGGACTCTCATTCTCCTTGACGAATTCCATAAACCGCGCTCCTCTCCAAGCATAGACAGGGTGGGGTTTTCCACCTATATATGCATATGCAATAAAACTACCACGTATGCGTAACCACTAGAAGGGGTGTTTCGTCGCCAGTCGGTCAGCAGAACATGTTGCAGAGAGTTACTCTAAGCTGAGACTCAGTGCCATATATAGGAAAATTTTCCCAAACTATTTCGATCTGCACATGCATGTGAACACTTGGCCTGCGAGATAACACCTGCTTAATCATATTTTTAGGTTGGACACGAAAATAAGTGTCCCACCCTTCACTCAGGGTAGTCTTGCACTGAATTTCAGGAGATGTACTTATTCCCGTTTCTTAACTTTATTCCTGACCCTGGTACTAAACTAAAAGCTGGCCCCAACCCTATCTCGTCAAGATACGCGGATAGGGACCCCCCTAATGCAGTTGGCCCTTTGTTTTCTTTCAGGAAGTGTACAGTAGTTGGCCTAACTCATGAAATGTCATGGTCGAAATCTTAGTGAGAAGTACGTCATGCATCTGGTGTTATTAGTTGTGTTTATTAAAGTGAGTTGGGAGACAGAAAGGCATTTACTGAGAAAAGCATCATTTCGAGTCCGTTTTATTAAAGAAAAGGAGGTTAGATTTGGGCTAAACCTGACCTTTATTAATATCCAGATGGCTTCCTACGCCACGGAAATTTGCTGATCAAAACGTTATGGTTACGTGCATTGTGCTATAAACAAAGATTAATAAAAACAGAAAAAGTGAGAGGTAGATTCTGTCTGGAAATGCTAAATTTGATTTTGTTTGTAAGAAAATCAGGTGAGGACGAGCTTGAGAACTTTACTTGTTTTCAGGAATAAAAGACCGAAGGCAGCCTATAAAATTCCTTTTTGTGAATTTATAACGTCTTGTGCGATAAAATGTAGCAGTTATTTCTTCGACAATAATTTGTTTAACCACACCGAGAATTAATAGGCGCAAACAGATATATATATATATATATATCTTGAGTACGCGCAACATGCTGCCTTTTTTCTCTGTCCTTCCGTGCGATAACGATGTTCAAACAATGTCGTTCAGCAGTCGAATATGAAAGGATACGGAAATTAGTAGCGGAGGGGTTGTCGCATGAGTCGTTAGCAAGTATTTCTAATATTAGTAAGGTTACTCTATGGCGAATACTGAATGGTAGAACTGTACCCAGAAATAAGTAGGGGGGACATAAACGGTCCACGTGTAAACAAGGCGACGAATTTATTCGTCGCAAACTAAGCACGTATAATTATAACCCCATTTAGACCATTCACAGAGAACACACGCCGATGTTCTTGCTGAAAATAATTGGGAAATGGATGTAGGGCTTTGAACTTCATCAACAAAAAGTCATGATTAAGCCGCTTTTAAGTCCGAAAGTTACTAGAGCATGTTCCTATTTAGAAAGAAACATATTGATTACCAGCCCTCGTTCTGGAAGAAAACTTGCTTCTGCGAGGAGTTCTTATTTTTAGACAAGCCAATGAAATCGATCCATATGGTCATATGAGGGAAAAAAAACTTTCCAAAAGAGCACACTGCTCCGACGACAACTTTCACAAATTGTCCGAACGTGTCGTCTACGTAACGGCGCCAAAACACCGGTTCATGTTGGGCGAAGGCAATCTTTTCTAACTCCTGTAGGACCAGTTCTGCCAACAAACCGGAGACCGGTGAGCCCATTGGGGTTCCCTTGATTTGTTCATAGGTCTCTCCCGCAAAAGTGAAGTTTGCTGGCAGAATTCAAACAGCCTCATGAGGTGTTCAATTTTGAGGGCATTCTGAGTCTCATCGTACGCCTCTTCAAGTCTCTTGCGAAAGAATTCGCAGGCTAAGTTTGGTGGGATGGATGTGAATGGTAACAATCGGAGGATACCATGATTTCCTCCGATTGAATCCTCCTACCTTGGAGGTCTATGAGGAATTGAGAGGCTGATCGAACTGAGGTAGTCGAATTGCCTTGGAGGAACTTCAGTTTTGAGTACATTGAGTTTGCCAAATTGTAGGTGGGACTACCTTTTAGGGCAACGATTGGCCGAAGTGGGACATTTGCTTTATGGATTTTTGGCAGACCATTGAATCGGGCTAGAGCGGTGTCAGTTGCCCTCATTTGGTGCCATTCATTCTCCGTGATCACATTTTTATGTCGGTATTCTCTAAGCAGGGTACTCAGCCGATCTGCCACTGCTTTGGCTTGTGACTTCCGTGCTGGTCTGTAAAATTCCCTGTCATCAAGAAGGGCTTTAGCCTTTTCATTATAGTCTTTTCTATTCATCACGACGGTTGATCGTCCCTTGTCAGCAGGTAGAATGATAATGCTGTCGTCCCTCCTCAGTTCTCTCATAGCCTTTGACTCACTCTGCGAGATACATTTGGTTGGTCTGTGTTTCATCAGCAAGGAGGTAACACGTTGTCGGACGGCGTGCTTCATATCGTCGGATGTTTCACTTCTCACGATCATAGCTTCCAGGGCTGCAATGAAGTCGACAGGATCGGCATCTGCAGTGTTGAAACAAGTCTCATGCTGTAGCACTCGTAGTTGCTGCTCTGTTAGCTGCTTAGACGAGAGTTTGTGGACCAAGTTTGAGCTTTCTGTGGCTGGTGGTTTTAGCTTAATGAGTTTCCGTTCCAAAACTTCTCTCTTCTTGGCTTGCCCGTGGTGTACCAGAGCAGAGATCATCTTCCCATGATCTGCGGCGATAAAATCGCCGAGAGTGTGGACACACTGCCTTCTGTTCTGCTCGATCTCAGCCTTATACTTCTGCAAACGCCGATGACAGTCGTCGATCAGAACTCTTGTCATCTGTTTGACAAACCGCCTCACAACTTCTCTTCCCATGGCCGTATTAACAGGAGCTTGATAGCTCGGGCATCGTGGGATTAGTTCGTCTTGGAGACATCGGTGCAGAAAACGTAACTGTTTGTATGTTGCTGCCTCTCGTGTAGAGAATAACTCCCAGCTGCGAGCTGTCCGAAGCGCATCGCGCCCGAATTTTTCACGAATGAAGGCGAAATTTCGAGTTCCAGGTGTATGCATACACCTGGAACTCGAAATGTCGCCTTCATTCGTGAAAAACTTGATTTCATTTTGGACAATCGCATTGAATAATCCACTGTAGACAGCCTGACCATCTCTATGTCTGACAAACTTACAGCCAAGTTTAATGCAAATAGACAATCAACAAAGTATTGATCGTTTGCATTTGTTATCATTTTTTCCTTATTTTCACTATTTCTTGCGCCTCCCTTCATTTTGCACTCTTAAAGTTATGTCTTTTTAAGTGACTTGTAATATAGTAATTTTCTGAAATCCTAGCTTTTCAGCAAACGTTAATTATTTGTACGTTAATAAATATTAGTTTGCAACCCCAAACTATTTCTTGTTTTTAAAACAGTCGTTTTTTACTGTCGTAAGATTTAGAGTACCGCAGAAAGAGTAGATTTTGCGTTATAGGGTTTTCTCATGTTAACTCATGACATTTCATGAGTTATCACACCCACTGTTCCTATTTCAGTGTCCTAACCCTAACCCTAACCCAAGCACCAACCTTCAATCTTAACCTGGACTTAACGTTACATGCACCTTTAACCCTTACCAAAATGGTCTTGCACCTGAATTCCAGGGATTGACCTATTTCTGTTTCTTAAATCTACTTTACTTTAACTTTAATCCTAATCCAAACCCTATCCCCTTAAGATACGGAAGTGATGACCGCCGTAATGCAGAAAGTCTTATGATTTATTTCAGGATGGCTACCTATTTTGGTGTCCCTACTCAAACCCAAACCAAGACGCAAATCTTCGATCTAAACCGAAAGTAATTCCTTGCCATTACGGTAGTTCTTATTATTACCACAGCCTTAGCCTCCACCCCAGTCCTAACTGCCATGAGATTGGGCGCAGGACCTACTGTATTACGGGGATGTTTTCACTCTCGTGGATTAGGCCTTTTCTGGAACGGGCAGCAGACAAAACCAGTCAAGTTAATTTTTATTTGTTGTGGGCAGCATTTAAGAAACTTCCTATTTTCTAAATCGCGTTCTTAAGAAACATAACTATTTCTCGTAAATAAAAAAACCTGTATAAAAATATTTTTCGGCCTATTGCTGTTCATTTTAATCCAGGTGAACGTCAGTCCCGCCAAGGTGATGGGGCGCGGAATTTTAGTGGCGTCGCAGATTTTGTGGTCTCTTGTTTGACAAAGAACGACCATGGTATATCGACAAGTGTATAAACCACAAGGCCTGCGTGTGAACTGTCTGCAGTAAGGCGCATTATGTGAACGAATCATTATTGTAATGCTAAGCTACGTATGTACTGAGGCGGTTTATTCCATTCAAAGGTTTCTGAGATAGCGCTTTTGATAGAATGGTAATCTTTATTTCCGACATTATCACTTCTTTTAGAGACAGTCGAGTTGGCTCTGTGCTGTTTATTGCATACCTTTAGGCTTTACAGAAAAGCCACATATGCAAAAATTTTCAGTTAGAAAACACTTAAAAGCATTCAGAAGTGCGGCATTTATCAACAGCAAATAATTCACTTCCTTACTGGAGGCAATTCTGCCATGCCCTCTACTTATACTTCCTGTTATTGAAGCAAGTTGTTGACATGATTAATACCATTTTTCTGAAACACCCACAAACTGTCAAAACTTTACATTTCAACCGCACTTCCCATTTTGTACCCGTTTGCGTTCGCTCTTCTTTCACAAAAGGCAATTTTTTAAAAAAAAGTTTTCACAAAAGTGGAGAACTTGAGAAAAATTATTTTACAGACAAAATCCACGGACCTTTTTTAAGCCATAGTTAACGAGAGAGTCGTTCTAATGATAGAAAATGAGAAAAAAGGTAGATGTTGGTATTGCTGGGCAAACTGATGCGTTAAAAAGTGCTTGGGTCATCTTGCGTATTTTTGGTGGAAACAGCTATTTTCCCAACTGAATGTTTAGGCGGAAGAAAGTGCCACTTTAAGACGCATACTTCAACACCGTACAAAGTTGCGAACAACACGTAAGAGTTCAAAGACACTTAGATGGCACCTTTACATTTGATACCAATTTTTCGGAGCTAAGTCACACTTGGAAGGAAGCGCCTTCATAGTAGAAGCAAGCGCCGGTTACACATCATATTTAATTGACAGTATTGGAGGGGCAGGCCTCAACGCACGACTGAGCAATATTAATGACTAGTCTGTGATGCGTATCTTTTGACTTAATGCCTAGTTAACATCCGGTAATTATAGGGCATACATACTAAATCGCGCTTTCTGTCCTACTGAAATCCCATAATTTTTGATCCTGATGAAAGGCCTATTTTGCCTGCACCGATCATTTCCCACTGCGCCTGCTTACTAACGGTTAACGTCTAGTAATTTTTCAAACATAGGCGACCAAGTTTAATGTTCGCATTTAGACTCCGTATGAAGAAACTGAAGTCTACCCCTCGGTAAATCATGCGTATTCGGGAGATAAGCTATCGCAGCAGCGGTTAATCGTTATGTTGATGGATTTTCTAAAAGTGTCATGAAACGAAATGGCATAAAACTTGCAGGATCCACCTTCACGAGCCCTGCATCGTGTTGTCCTGTTATTCAGGCAAACCTAAGGTTACCGATAAAAGCGAAAAAGGTGGATCCCCGAAAGCAGTCGGCCGGATAAAGGTCTTGTTTCAGTGGTCATGTCTGCATCCGTATAAGCACAGGTTTAAATTTTGCTCAAGTGCTCTGTGGACAAGTGAGTATGGAGCGGAGTGTTAAGGTGCGGGTCCGTCCGCGCTCTCCTCCGCCTCCAATCTTCTTGACTCCGTCCAAGTGAGGAGTAGTAAGAGAGAGTGCGGTAGATGCTGCGCAAGTCTACGTTCAAAATAAACTAAACCACGCTCAAGTCACCGTGCCAGCCTCATCTCACTGTGAAGCACATGGTGGACATGATTGCCAAAGACGGTCAAACTGTCGGTTAAAGACGTAAGTTTCCTGGCTAGCCTATCTTCAAGCCGACTGGCTACAGCTGAACGGTCACAGTAGCTGGTCTACCTCATAGAATGTTAACCAATATTCCGACGTGTGTATTCGACGAGACATGATTACTTTAAGGGACGGTTGTAATACGGATTAGGATACAGCGTAGTCCCTAGATATCTCAGTTAAATCAGAATGCCGGCTTAGGAATGCATGTCTTTCCGGCCAGCGGATAAAAACCTCATTTACTAAAAATGACTGCTTAAGTGGCGTGATGTTTACCCACTTGATTTTGATGCCCTAGAAAAAGGGCAAGATGATATCCTTTATTGCACAGATTTACCAATAATTAATGTCTTCGTTAAATTCCATATTGGTAAAAGGGGGAATACGGCTAGCCAATCCAGTGCTATGTTGTCAGTAGACTTTGACACAGGCGGTCTGTCTTCCGAGGCCAACGTCGACCCCAGATGATGATTGCACATAGCCCCAACCTTCCGATGGCAGTGTGTGCACAACGTACCCGACGTACAAACATTACTCACAGCCTATGTCCCCCCCTCCCCTCGTCCCCTTAACCCAATGACCAAGACACGCCGATCACGCCATAGCACGCCTCGTCATGCGAGTGGCGTGGAAACGATGAGTATTAATAGTCCCTGAATCACTTATAAGCCCTGTAACTTCGCATAATTTCGACTTCCATGTAACTGTTTTGGGCTGATGACGAGTTACCGAAGACACGTATTTGCCATATTGCCTTTGCAACTGTAACATGGGAAAATTCACTGAACTTGGACAATCCAAAAGGTGAATATTTTGGTTTCAAAGATTCTAACTCTGAGATTTAAATAGCATTGTGATTATCCGTTTACTGATGTTACTTGTAAATTATACAGCACGGTAGACATGCATTGCAAAATTTTACAAACCCCATATGAGGTCTTCTTAATAAAATAGAAGGATGTAAAATTTTCATTACGCGGAGAGGACGGGGCTAGAAGCTTGAAAATCAGAAAAGCACGTGTAGTGGCAAGTCGGGTTCTAAATTATTCACGAATTGAAGATACTTTTTAAAAGGCGCCATTACTTTATGTATATATTTGAGAAAAAACAATTTTCCTATGAAATGCATACAAACATAGATGTTATTATGTATGTTTTTCTATGAAGTATATGTGGGCAGCCAAATCTTTGGTAGAACAAATTCGTATTACTTAAATAGCCATTTCTTGCTGAGCGCTGTTTTTGCAGGCGGTAAGAAGGAAGCGTATCGAAAAACAGGCATCCCGTCGTGACTAATATACCGTGGACTATTTTGCATGACAATTAACACTACAATCGAATCTGTATATGCTTTTTGAATTGAAAAAAACATTTCAAAAGTTTGCTAAACCTTTCTGGAGATACGGCACCGACTGTAATTTCAAATTTCCCTGCATTTGATGACGAAATGCGACTTTCTGGGGTCTATCACCTTGACACATAAAGCTCCCTTACTGCAAGTTGAATTTTTCTATAGCATCTTATCGCTTCCAAGTAGAAATGGTTTTGCCAATAATATGCTAAAACCTTTTGACTTTTTAACAAAACTGTTAAAAAATGGACACATTAAAAGCAAATTGCATTTGACGGGCACACCACAGTGCGGGAGGTGACGTTGCCCGGAAATACGAGCTGCGAGGGTGTGGCTGCCTGCGTTTAAAAACCGCAATCCAAAGTAGTCCCTGTCAGAAGTGAAGTTGCAGGGTTAAGTGCGTTTTCAGCGTTAATTACTGGGCTGATTAGTGAGTTGCAGTTGGATGCAATTGATCAGCGCTTGACGTCATTTTCGCGTCTTTTTCT